TTTGTTGAAATGATTTGAGGAGAGGTTGCTGTTCATCTAATGGGAGTTAGAGTGAGAGACTTTATAACCTTTAATCAGAGTCCCCAGTCTGTGTATAAAACTGCTAGGAGGCTTATGAATTTCACTCAAGAAGGGCACATATTGCCAGTCTTGTGCCATCTCCTCACCCCATACAATATACAGTCTTTTTAGGTGTATATGCTCAAATGTATAGACAAAACAGCTTGTACGAAATACCTAAATACAGAACAGATGCACAATGCCACCATAGACTTGAATGTTTTATGGCCTCAAACCATCATCACACCCCTTGCAGTTGCATTTTATTTTTTTCACCTGCTCCTGTGTAGTACACCTGTGACTTATTGGCAGGAAATTTGGTTGCAGTGTGGGAAACTCCCAGCCTGAGTGCCAGCCTTGTAGCTCTGCTCCATCGTGTGCTGCTTTTTTTGAGGTGGTTCTCCCAATCCTTATACAGCTCTGAAGAGTTTCTTTCTACTGCTCTAAGTTATCCTCTTTCGACCTTGTCTCCTTTCTTGTTGATAAAGTGCTCTGAAAATGGAGGTTGCTGTGCAAGTGCTTTGATTATAATGCACTATGTACCCATACGATAACAAAGAAATGCTCGTTCAGGGTGTGCTGCAAAGTTAGCTTGAACCAACCACCAATGCAAGCACTGATGTTCCCAACTAACTATGCTGTGGGTAGCAATCACTATATGCATACATGCCAGTTAATCCTTATAGTAAAACTTTTTATTGTCCACAAAACCGATCACCCAGTTCCAGAATGATTGGGGATGCCATAGTGAGTAGAAAACACCACATAAGCATCCAGGCACTCTTGGGGCGCAGGGACAATGCCCAGTTTTATCTGACATGGCTTTCAGAATTGGCGTCAGTTAAATCTCCCAACCTTGTCATATACTAAGGCAGTGACGTAACCTATCTTGATAGGCGAGCTTAGTGCTGCTGCAGTTTTCCACTTGCCATGATGTCTTTTAATGGTTAGTTTATACATTATGCCCTGCTCCCCTAACCAAACGCACAGACCTACACATGTACAAAGGGCATGGTCAGAAGATGAGGAAGATTTAGCACAATTGTCTGTGACTGCTTCAATATTCTTTGGCATGTCACCTTTAAAGTTGGGGTTTTTTTTATTGTTTGTTTTATGTTGTTTTTGGTAGAGTGTAACTTGCTGTGTTGGAAAAACCCTTTGAAGCAATCCTGATTCCCACTGCAGTTCTAAACCACCCCTTCATTGGTAGGAAATGAGAATTTTCACACTGGTCAACAAACCGTTATTTAGCAGAAGTATAGCTGTAATATTGATATATTGGGAAATATACAGTGTTCACTGGCTTCAAATTTACACTTCTGCCTACCTGGTGTAATAGTTCAGTTTTAGTACAAAGGGATGCAATGAAAAGGGATCTCTACTAGCTAATTTAAGATGTGCTAACGGCTTTTCTTACTGCCTGTGCTGTATTTCTCTACCTCTTGTCATTTTTTTTCATTTATAATACGGTTAGCACATTTTCCCCAAAGGTCTGATATAGATTTTGAAGATGGTACTGATAAGGTTTAAATTGCTTTGGCCTGTAAATCTGGTCATCTTGGTACACTGTCTGTTGCCAGCAGTGGGCATGCAAAATGACTACCATTAAAAGATTTGAGCTCAAAAACATGTGATGATTGGATTAAAAATTTTAAAATGTTCATGTTGGGGAACAAAGTTATAAAATGCAAGGATTGAATGTAGCCAGTTTTCAGCATCACCAAAACGCAGTGGCAATAAGCCACAAACTCACACCAGGAAAAAAAGAAATGTAATCTTGCTGGTGAGTGGTAGAAGGTTGGAGGTCGTCATGCTTTAACCGAATGGCTCACTTTTGTGGTCTGAAACATATTTTAACAAGTAAAAATGTATATTGGAAACACAGAAGATGAGCACATTTTCATAGGGCTTCCAAATATGCATCTGTGGTAGTTGTGGGGTTAGCTGTTAGCATGTACAGAAACCCCACAGTCAAGTACTCACAGGCACTTGTACGTGCAAGTTTTACCCATTTAGCTTGTGTTGATTCAGTTTTCTTATAGATGGATGAAGGATTTCGTACACACAGACAGCTGTACCCATACATATTGTAAGTGCATTTTTGAGGATCTTTAAAAATTTGGCCTTATATGTTAACTGTTTGGTGCTGGGATTAGTCAGCATGTCAATTGCCTGCAGTACATGTGAGGGGAAGGGGGAACAGCACTTTCCCCAGGAAATCCAGATTTGCATATGGAAAATGTATATCTGATCCATTCGACTGATGGCTTGTATATTATGTTCAGTATACGAGTCTTTACTTGAAAACAGATGACCTCGGCTCCATACAACTGCTGGTTTGGAGTATAATTTGTTTGCATCTTTGTATAGACTCTGCTCACCAAAACACTATGTTTTTTATATTAGATGTGTGGCAGAACATATTATTAACCCATGTTTGAAGAGGGAGGGTTCACAATGAGTGCTTCATTATCAGATTTAGAGTCACATACCCTTCCTTTATTGACCTGCCTGGTGTAATCAATGCAGCAGCCACACAGATTTGAAATCATGTTCCCTGACTGTAGACTGTGCGCCCTGCATCGAGTGCTGATTGTGCATTATCTTTTAAATGACACTGCCTAAATAAGTATGGATTTGTCTACCATGAATAGTCCTTGCTTCGATTTGTGGATGGTAAACCTTTTGCATTTTTTTATTGGTATTGAGGATGACCTAAAAATAGAATTACAATGAAGTGCACTAGAAATAGCCATGGTTAAAATGCTCGGGAACATGTTTGAACACAGGGATACCTTTGTATTCTTCAACTTTTTAAAAAAAATATCTTTTCATGTGTCTTAATGCGCAAGCTCATTTATCGGGGGGGGAGGGATAGCTCAGTGGTTTGAGCATTGGCCTGCTAAACCCAGGGTTGTGAGTTCAGTTCTTGAGGGGGCCACTTAGGGATCTGGGGCAAAATCAGTACTTGGTCCTGCTAGTGAAGGCAGGGGGCTGGACTCAATGACCTTTCAAGGTCCCTTCTAGCTCTATGAGATAGGTATAGTGTTGCTGTTACCCTATACAGCTACATTAGTCCTATTACATAACTTTGTTACTTGCTGTTCCCTTTGTGAATAACATAAAGCACAGCAAAGGTGGTTCTTCTGTATGATTGGTAATATCTCCATATTTAAAAAAGTCATAAGCTGTCAGATTTTATGCTTGGTTATGCTAAATCACTTAAAAGCAAAAAATACAGTTTCTTTTACATTCCACAGATGTGATTCATAATACATTAGTACGTTTTCCATTTCTCTACACAGTTGTTTGGGTTATTGATCTCAAATATTTTAGCTTAATTTGTTGCAATATTCAGGGCATGGAATAACTATGCTATGGGCTATAGTTACGCTAAGCAAGCTGTAGTGATTTTGCTATTTTATCAGTTGATTGTTTAATTCACAAAATATCACCCTATGCATGTTTAAACTATAACACTTCCCCCTTTTCCTTAATCTTTTGTCATGTTGAAAGACTGATCATTGTGTAGAGTTTCATAAGAATCTGCCTGCCACAATATCTATTGCTGATAACTTTTGACATGATTTAGGAACTCAACAGCACTTCTGACACCTTGTGGTCAGTTGTTGGGAGTGCACAGTTCAGCAAATAATACCAGCTTTAAATGGGGTCACTGCTACCTAGAGAGACTAGGGCTGCGAATGGAAGGTTCATTAGTTAACTATTTCTACAAGCCAATTTTCATTAGACAGATGCCATTGCCATAATGAAGTAGAGGACCCATTTGTTTCTGATTGAGATGTAACAGTAGATAATTTAGAAGGAACAGATGATTTATGAAAAGTTAAAATATCTTCATGTATTTGAAATACATTGTACATAAATAATGTAATTCCAAATTAAGCTATAATTTTAGAAACTTTTCCTTTTTCTTTGGGAGACCTGCATGGTTCTATTACTAGGCAGATAGAAGTTAGTAAATTAAAACTAGCATGAAGGAAAATGTGTGAATTTTTACTGGTAGGCGTTGTGGCAACATTTGAAAACATTTAGGCCCCAATCCTACAAAGGCTTATGCACACGTATACCTTTGCACAAATTATCCTTTTGACTACTCATGAAAACAAAGTTACCTCCATGCACGTTTGCAGGATTGGGGCTGTAGTATGCAAGCAAAATGTCTGGGTATGTATTGCACTGAAAATGCCGCTTTGAGATTGCTTCTGGATTTATTTGGCTTCTACCCAAAGTGGCATGACTGGACTGTAATGTCTCCCTCCTATGCTAAAGAGCTGTTTGTGATTGCAGGTGGTGGTTACAGCTCTACTAAAAAAAAGGAGGGCTGTTCACAAAGATGTGCAGCATAGTCCATTCTGTAAAGAGACTGAACTTCTGGGGGACACATCCAGCATATTTTCTGCAGTGTAAATGCCCTGTTGCCAAAACTAGTGGTTCAGCTGTTATTGCTGAAGTATTCCTTGGATTGCAAAGTGTGTGTCACAATCTGGTGTCTCTTTCTGCCAGTACTTCTACCAATGACTAGTGAGAATGAAGAGTAAAATATGGGAAGGGATCCCTCAGTGATACAGATTTTTTTTTTAATTGTTACAATTAAGTGAAGAGCTGAAGGCAGATTTTTCTCGTGACGTGTTACCATTTTCTCTATATGTACTGAAAATCTTAAAGGCTGTACTTGGCTGGTAGAAAAAAATTTTTTCCCTAAGTTCATGCCAGCATTAACAGATCTATCAGTACAAAGTAAATGTGTCATATTGGCAGCTGTTACTTATGAGTACTTTTTCTTTATTGCATTTTGTTTTGTAATAATTGAGAAGCTTTTATGTAGAACTCTGCATAAATGGGACTGAGTAGGAGGGTATGGGCATGCTTTCTATTATTCTGCCCCTCATGCATGTATCCTTTTTTCATCTTTCCAGAACCACACATTGAGTCAGCACGCACAGTGAGCCACTGGCACTACAGGACACCTCTCTGCAGAAGACTTGACGGAGGCACAGTGGGGAGGACCATTTGAACATTACATCCAATCAAAGTGTCATTTGCAACCCAGATGTAAAACTCTAATGATTTGGCCATGAGGCGCTGCTATTATAAGCAGCTGGAAATGAATATTAATGGAAGAGATTAAAAGTATTCCATGCTCAGTATTTTTTATTGTCCTGCTTCAGCTAGTGTACTTTAGAGCTTCTGCTTCTGACTGAATTTATAGTGTTAGATAAATCTGCTTTGATGCTGTTGCCCTTTGTTGCTTCTTGTATTATATGGATAGTTAAAGATTAGGTGTGATTTTTTTAACTGCTTTTTAATTGCAATTTTAGGTAATTGTGCATTGTGATGTGATTGCTTGGCTATTGTCGGAATATTTCTTTTGAATTTTTTAATTAAAGACTAATGCTTTGATTGGATTTGCCAGTTCACCGGACAGTGATTAAAACTATGTAATGAATATAATCGGTTTCAGTGCAACTGGATGGTCTGCTTTATAAATGTGACTTAATCTGATTGCAATAACTAGTACAGTTCAATAAAGGGAATACATGCGATTAGTGTCAGAGCTTCAATGCATCTATCAGTACACGTTATGTCACTCTCCCCTGTACGTGTGGGTCAGAGGACTAGAGTATAAAATCATTTGTTGCCATACACATGTAACCCATGAAGTAACCAGTGCTTAATTTGTCCCAGTGCTTGCCAGGGCTGAGCCCCGCACTCTGGGCTTGGCAGTTCGTAGCCCTGACACCTCTGGACTTGCCAGATCAGTTATGAAAGTAAAACAATTGCTTGAGCCCCAACATCTCTTCCATTACAAATTAAGCACTGGAAGTAACCCATGAAAAGTGAAGCCTTGAGGAGTGTAAAACATATACTCTTGTATTGAGCAGTGTATCATGCACAGAACTCCCTTTAAGGTTAATGGGAGTTAAGCACATGTATTAGGATGGAACAGTTGGCACTTTAGAAATTAACTGTATAAAACTTGTGCATAGAATTGGGTTTGGGTTGTTGTTTTTTTTGTTTTGTTTCCAAGCTCTGGCCCTATGGGGGGCTGGAGCACCCTCAGCTCCTACTGATGCCAATGAAAATTGAGGTACATAGCGTCTTGCAGGATTGGATCCCTTCCTTCTGCTTTTTTGTTTGTTTCAACACAAGGTAATTAAGATTCATGCTTATATTCATATGCAGTAACTGCTGGGCCAGTTAGGAGACTGTGTGCATATCAGCCACATGAACTTCTAGACCTCCTGGTATGGGTTCTCTACTCAACCACTGCACATCTGACCTATCAAACGGCCATATTATAATTAGGGCCCTACCAAATTCACAGCCATGAAAAATGCATCATGGACCGTGAAATCTGGTCTTTTACTCTATACTATACAGATTTCACAGAGGAGACCAACGTTTCTCAAATTGGGAGTCCTGACCCAAAAGGGAGTTGCAGGGGGGTTGCAAGGTTATTTTAAGGGGGTTGTGGTATTGACACCCTTACTTCTGCGATGCTTTCAGAGCTGGGAGGCCGGAGAGCGGTGGTTGTTGGCCGGGTGCCCAGCCCTGAAAGCAGTGCCCCACCAGAAGTAGTGAAGAAGTAAGGACGGTAATACCACTGCTGCCTTCAGAGCTGAGTGGCCAGACAGTAGCGGCTGCTGTCTGAGGCCCGGCTCTGCAGACAGCAGCGCAGAAGTAAGGGTGGCAATACCATACGATGCCATCCTTACTTCTGCACTGCCGCTGGTGGCGGCTCTGCCTTCAGAGCTGGGACCCCAGCCAACAGCCACCGCTCTCCAGCTGCCCAGCTCTGAAAGCAGCAGTACCGCAACCCCTCCTACAATAACTTTGCAAACTCTTCTCCCCCTCACCCCCCCCCCAACTTCTTTTTGGGTTAGAACCCCTACAATTACAACACTGAAATTTCAGATTTAAATAGATGAAATCATGAAATTTATGATTTTAAAAATCCTATGACTGTGAAATAGACCAAAATGGACTGTGAATTTGGTAGGGCCCTAATTATGATCTAATATTAATACTGCTAATTAGTAGATTCCTTTAACATACCAAAATTGAGCACAATTAGTTGTCATTGCTCTGTGTCTGAGCTTGGAGGATGTCACTAACACCTTGTAGAAAGTACTCTTCAGGATCATATACCCTTCAGTGCAAAAACACTAAGTACCTAAATTGGTTTATGCAGTGCATTACAATTGGGATTGGAATACACTGTTTAACAAATGCAAAGGCTGAAGCTTCTTTTTAGTACACCTCCTGTACTTCAGATTATATTTTGATGTTTTATATTTTCCTGCTGGTTTTGATTGTTCTCTGTTTCGTTGGTGCACCACATCTTCAAGGCAGTGGGAGATGCACTCTTGTAACTGAGGACAGAATTGGCCTCCTGGTTATAAGGAGGGATTTGGGTTCATTCCTAAACTAGAAAGGACGAGGGCAGATGTAAATTATGCACAGCTATTTTGAGAAATGTTTCACATTTCTCAAGAGAATGAGATTAATTTCCCTGTTTGGGCAAATAAGACCATTTTTATGTTTCCAGTTACTCTGCTGACATGAAATTGGTTAATTTTCTTCTTAGTGAAAGTTGACTTGGACACTGACAGGTAGTTTAGGCTCAAAATTTAGTTTTTATAAAAAAAAAATACAAAACTCAATTTTAATAAGAAAACTAGTTATAATTTTTCTTCGTTTCAGTGAAAATGGGTCACTTTTTATTTAAATAAATTTTCTCTTGCTATGTTTGAAACCTAAGCACTGTTCTAAATACATCCAGTTCCAAAAATACCGCTGCAATTTTTAACCTTTTAAACATTTTTTCTATGTAAACCACTAAATCGGTTTTAGCGCTGAAGAATTAAATGAAAACTGCAGCAATTAATAATACCACAAATAATGTAATAATGCATTTCTAACCACATACTGTACCCACAGCCAACTTGCAGGCAAAAAATTAGTATGGGATTTTCTAAAGTGCCTTCGGGACTTAGACTTTCAACTGGAGTTGCATGCCTAACTCCATTACATGCTTTTAGAAAATACCATCCATTAAATGGTGTATGTACCATACCTACTACCACTTTACACTAAAACTTCTTATAGTTAGGGGTTTAACCTAGGAGATAAAAAAAAAAGGCTGCCTTCAGCCTTGTTACTAAATTAACTAAATAAGGATGGCTTTGTACAGCCAATGTTTGAGTTGGTCTAAAAGAAGCCTTTTTCAGCTAGTAACTTCATCACCCTTCCGATGGTGTAAAGAATCTGCCTCCTACTTCCAACCAGTCCCAAGTCCCCAGAGCACAGCTCTCTTAAGCCTTAGCTACAAAAATTACTGGTGCGGTTGATCTGGTGCTGAACAGGGTTTAGCTACAAGTTTTTAGCCAAGGTCACACTGTGCTCAATGTCATATCAGAGAGTATGGTTCAAAGACGCTCATGGCAGTGGGATGGGAAAATTGCTTAACTGTCCACCGCATGCCCTGCCATGTTACCCTGAGGAAAAGGGAACTATGAGAGACTAACTCTCTCCCAGAAGATGAAGAGTTTGTGTGTGTCCACATGCTAGTTTACTTTTCCACTAGGTTAAAAGGGTAGGTAACCCCAACTCTAGGGATCAGGAATTGACTTTGTTCCATGCAGATTGACAAGGAAGTAGGTGTAACACCTGCTACTTCTCCTTGAAATATAAGCTGTGCCAACTTGTTGTTCAGTGTTATCCACCAACCCACATGACTTCCTATACTGAATGAATCATTTTGGATGAGTTGCCAAACATGCCACAGTTGGATAGGTCACCTGAATGTGTCTGAGAGCTCGCTCAGCACATTCTTGTTGCTCTCCTCCTGCCCCCAATCACAGTGGGTCAAGATGTAAATCATCTAGCAGGCTTAGGTCATCAAAAGAGACGTGATGAGTGGACAATTTCCTTTTGCCTCTTCTGCCATCTGAGTCTTGTGGATGGGCAGCACCAGTTAGAAAAGAAAGGAGGCCAGACTAGGCTGCACTTAGCACTTGAGGCTGGAAAAAATTGAGTTGCAGGTCTCTTCTCCAGCCTCTGCTGTGCCTTGCAGCACTTCAGTAATGTCTGAACTCGATCTGATTGCAAATGCTGACTTTTGTTTTTCTTTAAGAATCTTTCACTCCACCGCAGTGTGATCATACCTACAAATGGCCAGTGACATTTAATGTAAATTACAGTCTAGCAAGTTGTTTTGTGGAATATTTGCCATAACCAGTGTTTATATAAAAGAACATAATGAAAGCACACACAATGACCAGCGATGCTGCCACCTCAATTACTGCTTTGCTTATGAGCCAAAGACGATGTCGACAAAATGGCTGGGGCTGTTTTAATAAATAATTACAAATTTCAGCCTTCTCTGAAAATGAAATCTGGTGCTAGGAAATGGAAGGAGAGTCCTCAGCTTTCACATTTACTGTCATGATTTCGCTCTATGGGCTTGATCCTGTGAGGTTCCAAACCCCTGCAACTCCTATTGACAATAGTTCTTAGCACTTATCGGACCCTTTGTTGGTATATGCTGTTGCTTTTGTTACTGCATCTGGCTCTCATCACTGGCTCTGCAGGTGCAGATAGAGGTGCCTCAGTTGCTGAACATTTAATTTCTGAGTCTTGTTCCCATTTTTGTCTGTGGCCAAAAGGAGATATATTGGCCCAGAAGGTCGTCTGAATCTATAATGTGTCATACTGAATGGAGGTGCTCTCGGGAAACCCCATGTAAAGTTTTATCTACTTGGCCATGTAACATTAATTTACTCTTCAAACTGGTGGCTGCTGATCTGGATCAGGAGGATTCTGCTCAGATTCCAGTTAATGTGGAAGATGTACCGGTAAGTGGGAGCTTCATTGGCAAGATGGTCTGTAAACATGAGATTGTATCAGAGAATTCACAAAACACATTAGACTAAACACCCTTCAAAGTCCCTCGGTGGTATTAGGGACACTGAGATACAAGCTATGAGAGTGTAAAGAAAAACTTTATTGCTCTTTTGTATATAAAAGTCGAGGTAAACATTGACACACAGGTTACTGGTAAATTTAGTTCAATGAAGCCAATACATTTGTAACAATTTAACATATTACCATTTATATATTGAATGATTTTACATTTTCCATGTCTGCATACCTCCGTGTCATTAGAAGCGTTAAATACTCTGAACTAATCATAAGTTATTATACAATGTTGCAGGACATAATTTTTACAGTGTCTGTACAGTCACCTTTTACATACAGTATTTGTGTTTTGACTGACCACAACTTCAGATCTTTGTCCGTTGACTAATCCTTAACATTAAATATTTTATATGTGTTACTGATAGCTTATCTTCTTCTTCTAGCCTTAGTCCAGTCCCATCCCCGGTTGGCTCTTTGAGTCCTTCTACATTCCAGTCTGTCTTGAAACAGTTCCTTGGAAACTCCATGGCTAATCAAATCCTTTTGTATTACATCCATCCACTTAGTTTTGGGTCTTCCAGCCCTTCTCTTATCCTCCACTTCTAAGTTTATCAT